GTCTCTGCCGAATTCGAAGTGCTGGTGTAGAGTGTGTTGCCCTACATGAAGCAACTCACAATGTGAAATTCACTATCCAGGTAGAGTGCCGGTAACTTTAATATGCCGATAAATTTCGGCATGCATTTGGGTTTAGCCAAGACTTACGCTTAATTTTAAAAGACATGATTTCGAGTAGAGATACCCTGAACAGCGATCGCATAAGTGTCATTAACGAAATCATCAGAGTAAATGCCGAATTCTGATGGAGACATGCTATTGGGCGATGTATAAGAGTAATAGACTCTCTGAACCGATCAGCAGGGATCATTTTCGCGTTAGTAATCCAAGAGCTCGGACCAGTGACGTTTTCCATCGTCCTCGGTAACCCACCTCACTACCTCTCCACTGTAAAGTGCAATTGACGCTCCTCCACGTACTCTTTCGATACACATTACAATGGTGTCTTCCAGAATTATCACCCTCTCTTCGCGAGCTCTTTTGTCGCTCCAGCGCACTCAATGCCGCACTTTCAGCATCGCTCCACTCCGCAATGGCGAGTTTGACGCGCTCAACAAGCGCACAAACGACACCTCGGAAACCTACCGCAAGTACCAGATTGAGAAGCCTCTGAACCCACACTTGACCAACTCCACCTCGACCATTGCCAACAAGATGCCCTCTGTTGGCAAAGACTCTGCTCCACCAGAGTTGATTACTCAAGTGGACGACAAGTTTGCGCCAAAGGACTCTTCACCCGAGAACACTGAGCGCATGACTGGTGGCACACAGAATAGCAAGGCTCAAGATGTGAGTGGAACCAACAGCGAGCTGGGTGTTGGCGAGATGGAAGGCGCCAAGTTCAAGGTTGAGCCACTGAAGCGGACGGGCGAGGACGCGAATACGATGCGTGCAAGATTATTATGTCGGTTCCTACGATTCCCCGGCTCGTGCTTCACATGATGCTTTCTCATGTTCAAGGCACCACGATGCATTATTGGAAATGTCGACTAACGTCAAGTAGACCAGAGCCGCAAAAGGGGAACACTAGAGAGTGACCTCCTGCTCAGCACCTTCGCCGATGCTCATCTCGCCACTATGTCTCCTTCTCTCATGCAGCAATATGACACTTTCCTCGACGAAAACGATTGGGACATTTACTACTGGGCGACGCAAGAACCCACTCCCACATCGCACGAGACAGCCGAGGGGGGTGGTTCGGCCTTGTCTACCTCCAACGCACAGGGCTTGGATGCGGCGACGCAGACCAAGTTGCCAGAAAAGGACGAGCGCAAGAGAGATCCTGGAGAGGGCGAATGGGCGCAGACTGTAGGCACTTTCAAGCCTGCGTACAGGCCTGTTCCTACCAGGTGGAAGGGCAGTGAGATTCTTAGTCTACTCAGGAAGCATGTCAATGAAAGGAAAGCAGGCGGCGTGATTGAAGGCGAAGGCCAAAAGCAGCAGGAAGGCAAAGGTTTGGGCATGATGCCTGCAGTCAAGAACTTTGACCAGTAAAGTGGTGCAAGTCGTCTTGTTCCGTTGATGGTATGTATGTACGTCGGACTGTAGTAAATATGTACACTGAATCCTTTCTCCCTTCTCTTCCTCGTTTCCCATTTCTCGTTGCCAGCCCAAGAATCTAGATTGATCCAAATACGGCCAAACTGTTCATGACTTTTCCATCATCACCAAACATCAGATTCCATCCACAGCTGCTACCCAAACCCGCGTTGTCAATCCACGCAGGCTCCCAGTAGAAAAGACCCGTACCCTTTCCGTTCGAAGCGCCAGCCACGCGCTTAGCCACCTCCTTCATCCAGGTCGTCTGTCCATCCACGGAGATAGGAATAGACTTAGTATCCGAAGGAAACGCATACTTTGGATTCGGGCACCAAGATGGCCAGTTAGTCTGTACAAACTCAAGTCAGCAAACTGTTTTCCCCTCCTCCAAATCCACCAAAAAAGGGACGACACTGTATTTCCAGAGAAAAAAAACCCCCCGAAAAATAAGAAGAAGAAGATTAACATACCTCAACAACCATAACCTCCTTCCCATACTTGCTCGCCATATTACTCAAGGACGACCCCACGGCCGCCAGCGTAGCCGCCGCATTATAAAACGGATAATACGACACACCCTGGACATCGAAATCCGACAACGAAAGCCCGCCACCCGAACCCAACACGAGATCATACCACCACTTCTGCGTCTCCCAATTCCAGCCGTTATCAAGGTGAATCATGATTTTGGGCTTCGGACTCATACTCGACTCTTTGATTGCACGGGACGCGGATTTGAGAATGGCAGCGACATTTGCCGCGGGACCCTGCGAACTACCCGACAATTTACCAATGGGGAACAGGAGACCGGGGGTGATTTCGTTGCCGATGGAGACGAGTTTCAAGGGAATGCCGTTGCGCTGAAAAGTATCGAGGACGTTTTTGGTGTAGTCGTAGACTTGCTTGATGAGGGCTTCGCGGTTGAGACTCTGCCATGCAGCGGGTGTGACTTGTTTGCCTGGGTCGGCCCACGAGTCGCTGTAGTGCAGGTCGAGGAAGATGCCTAAGCCGGCGGCTTGGGCGCGCTTGCCGAGCTTGAGGTTGTAGTCAAGGTTGTAAGTGCCGCCTGAGGGGTTGACCCAGAGGCGCTGGCGGACGGTGTTTACGCCGGAGGACTTGAGGATGGTTTCGAGGGGTTGCACGGTACCCGCGGAGTTTTTGTATTTTTTACCGGCGGCTTCTTCGACGAGGAGAGAGGACCAGTCTACGCCTTTGTAGGGGAGCGCCGCGAGGACGGTGTTGCTGGCGCAGAGCAGCGTCGAGATGAGGTGCGTGAGACGCATCGTGAGCGTGTCGCGTCAGAGTATGAGAGAAAGAGTGTAGGGTTGGGTCAGAACAGCTATACGCGCAAAGGATGAATGCTCAATATATATCCCATGCTTGAACATCCACTTCTTGAGGTCCTGTAATACATGGCTAACGGACAAACGGCTGACAGTGGTGATCCGCCTGCCTTATTTTGATCACATCGCGCTCTAGAATGTCGCAAAGACCCGAAAATAAAGTATCGTGAACATTACTTCCGCCAATTAAACCTAGGATGACAAGACCCACTGTATAGACCTGCAGTGTTTCGAAACAGATGACATGCTAGGCATTGCGGTGAGAGGGGTAGTAGCTCCGAACTCAAGACCCGGGATCATGTCCCAATAGGGCAACGCATGAGACGCGACACATGGGTAAAGGGAACATGACTAGGAAATACCATCAACTATAACTTTTCCGATCAGACAACCCAGAAATAAATGCAAAGGAACAAAACAAATGCGATGCGACGAAAAACCTTCAGTTGGTCAAAGCCATCTTTGATATTTGGGTGGTTTCATTGAGTACATAGCAGTGAAGCAGTAGAGACTCCTTATTCCCTCCCTACCAAAAACAGCCCAGCCCGTTCCGAAAGTGCAAAGGAATTTATGTCAGGGTTCGTAACGGCATCATAACCTTTCGCTAAATGCCTTTTTCGTAACCTCATTGCGCCCGCAGTAAAGATCAAACCTACTGCTCACCAGAGTAACCCTCACCAGCTGGCTGGGCCTCGCCCTCGCCCTGCTCAGCCTGCCTGGCCTGTTCCGCTGCCTGTTGAGCGGCAATGGCCTTGGCGCCGTAGTCTTGCGACATGGGCTGGACAACGGGCTGCTCCTCCTTGGGCTCGATGATGGTAACGGAGTCGGGAAGAGACTTGGATGGGCCGGCCTTGCCCTCGGGGTCGGAGCCGCGCATAATCTTGACCTTGATACCGAGCACACCCTGGCGGAGCAGGACGTGGCGGGTGGCGTGGTCAATGAAGTCCTTAGCGGGCTGACCGGAGTGGATCATGAAACCGTCCTGCGCTTGTTAGTATGCCATTCCTAAAATGACGATAACAAGGATGCATACAGTGAACTTCATGCTCTTGGCACGGGCGGCCCTGAGCTTTCCGGAGACGACGACCTCGCAACCCTTGGCGCCAGACTCCATGATGAACCTCAGCACACCGTAGCAGGCCCTTCGGACGGCCAAACCATTGAGAAGCTTGTATCGGAGGGACTCGCACTGGGCGACGGCGGAGAGACCACGGTTCTGGACCTTGGCGGCGTAGAGGGAGACGGAGTTCTCGGGGAACTTGAAGCGCTTCTGGATGAGCGAGGTGAGCTCACGGATGCGGCGACCCTGCTCTCCAAGAACCTCCTGGGTGTGTGTGGCGCGGATGATGATGTCGGTAACAGTGGGGGTGACGCGGACCTCGACGCCGGAGTAGCCCTCCTCGGCCAGCTCGCGCTGGAAGAACTCGTTCAGCTCGGCGTAGAAAACACCGTCTGTGGGTGTTTAGTTAGCCAACTATTTCTGTGTGCGCACTATTTCGACATCTCGCATCCGACACACTACAGTCCTGGCGGCGAGGACTCAATGTAGCTGTGCTTCTAATTCTCTCCAAACTCTTTCTTCTCTGTCCTCTAAATGTGGAAAGGATATATCATACCAGCAACGAACTTTCTCCTCTTGGAGCTGCATGCCGTCAGTAGCCATTCCTAATTGCGCGCTCGGCTGCCGCGGTGGCGACCGGAGATACTCACATTGCGGTTTGAGTGGTGGCCATTTTGTCGAACTGTCGATGGGCGTAACTGAACTCCGGGCGTGGGTGTTCAGAAAAGTCGAGCCGTTGTTATCGAAGTCGAGATGCTCACATACGAAATCGACGTCCTTAGCGAGGTGAGTGCGCGCTAAGTAAAGCTCGGACCACTTTGGCCACCAGCCACAGAGCTGATAAGATAGCCACGATCTGCCCTGCCACACCCAGACAAGCAAAGCATTGAACTGGCTGCAATTTGTGATTGATTGATTGTATGTATGATATGATGTGATTTAATATAGTGATAAAACAAAGATATTCTGTGAATTCTGCCAGTGCGCCAGAAAAAACGCCACCCTCCAAGTCCCGCATACACAATGCGTCTTTACCCGTCTACTTTGCATCGCCCAAACTAGTGGTGCTCAATCGGCTCCTCAGGCAGCAGGGGCTCGTGGTGCCTCTCCACACACGCCTTTAGCGGTGGGCGGATCAAGTCGTTGAACAAAAAGGTTCCGTACACCAACAGAGCGAAACCGAGAACCTGCAGCCACTTGAATGTTTCCCAGCCAAGTCCTAGCGACACGATCCAGATGAAGAGCGTGCGGCAAGTATCAATCGTCGAGCGCGAAGTAGCGGAGACGGTGCGAGTAACAGAGAGACCGAAGAAGTTGAAGCCACTGTACAGAGTTAGTGGATATCGCACCAGGGGAGACGAAATATACATACCCGATGCTGATCATGATCAGTAGCGAGGACACGGCGATGGCGCGGTAGTGGAACATCTGGTACAGGCCCTCTCTGGCGTTGAAGTATCCAGTTCCAATGGTCAAATGCAAAACGATCATACCAATGAACGTGACCAGGAATCCAAAGACACCTTCCCAGCCAACAACCTTGATGGGCTCCATGGAGTACTTCTCCATGATCCTCTCCTCAAGCACAAACTGAGTGGCAGTGAAGATCTGCGCGCCAGCAATGAGCAACACGCCAATGACAGTCATGGCAGCTTGAGAAGCAGCCGCCTTGACCTCTGATCCAGCAACAGAGTCGTGAATCGACTTATGGCCAGGCGTCGCTTTATCATCCCTGGTGATGGCACCAGCAAGTCCAACGATTGCAACGCCCGTCACAACCACGAAGAGCGAGAACCACTTGTACAGTCCGAGATGACGCTTGAGGAACCACACGCTGAACAGACCAACGAAGAGCACGAGCGCACCTCTGGTCATCTGGTAGATACTAGCTGCGACAAACAGTAGTCCAACGTTCATGAGGGTGGTTCCAGCAATGTCGCAGCACGCCGGAAGCGCCAACAGGAAGATACTCTTTCCTTCCAGCGGGATCCTACCCTCATCATCGGGATGCGCAGGTTTCAACGGGTTCACAATAGGGGTTGTCTCGCTAACATCATCTGGAGCCGGGGTAGCCGAGCCAGGAACGGGCTCGTAGCCTGCCTTCGCAGTCGCGTATCGCTGGTAGAGGGTGAACGCGCCGATGACAAGCCAGCAGCCCATCTCTCCAATAAACATCTGTAGCGTCTGGAGGACAGGCTGCTCAAAGTGTTCCTTGTATTTCGGCGAAGGCGAGTCGCAGTTCTTGACGCATTGCATGTCCTGGTCACAGGCGTCAGCATTCCAGCTCATTGACTCATGGCAAGGGGGGTTGTCATACTTGATACTTTGTCAACAGTGTATTGCATACGCCTGTCAACAGCATCATCGCCACGAGAAATGGCACCGCTGCTTTGACCGCCATGATGAAGATGGGTTGGAGCTCCCAGAGCTCACTGAAGCTCGTAGAGTAATCGGATGCGTATCGGACGCAACGTAATCAACCGTTGCTTACAAGGAGAGAAGAGCGCTATGCGCAGGAGTGATGGAGGAAGAAGGATGGATAGAATAATGAGTATAGATAGTCTCGGCGACAACAAGGTACTAGGCAGCTTTAAGCTCCAAGCTGGGACCCGTGATGGTTTGGGGCCGCAAGTGAGGCGCGTGAGGTTGCGCGACGAATGATGTAGGAGCCGCCGCACCAGCCTCGGCGATAAGAGATGGCGCTAACGCTGAGCCCGGTGATCCCTCCAGGACTGATGCTTACCTTCAGCTACTGCATGTGCGGTCGATTCATCCACGATTATCCATGTTTTTGTAGCTGTACATCATACAGTCTAATCTAGTCCAGCCATTCTGCGTCTACCATCCTTTACTTGCTGAGCCAAGTTGGCGGCGAGGCAGACACGACAATGCGCTAGCCTCCGCACTTGTCTCGTGCTTATTCGGGGAACCGGGGGACGCGTGACCATGTCAGGCACGGTGGCTTCAGGAGCATTTCCGTCCCCTGGCTCAAGCTCGCAGTGTACACGATTTCTTGTTCGACGTACAACATTCTTTTTTACACCGTATTTTCTAAATGTGCAACGATTCGTTTTTGAGTAATAGTTGCTATGTTCAGTCTAAATAATTCGCAATTGAAACTTTTCCGATTGAATCCCACAAGCAAATCTTACAAGAACCATCTGAATTCTGGGTTCTTTGGTCCATCTCTTAATTTCTCTGTTGACACGTCTTTGGCGGTGAGATTGACGCCCTGACGAGCATTCCTTCTCTTGTTATCAATCATCATATATGTGCCCAACAGCGCCGCACACAAGCAGCCTGTGGCCCCAAACGCCGCCGTCGTAGCCAGAGCTGGGATGTACGCTGGCGCATCTTGAGGTCTGAAGATGTTCGAGCTTACAACGCCCATCAAGTTTGCTAGCGGCACACCAACAGAGGTAAGTGTCACACGTCGGTTCTCGTCTGCGACGTTGTTGTTGTACCATGTAGAGAGCAGCACTGAGGGCGCAGATGTTCCCCACGTCATCATGAAGCAGGCGTAGTAGGCAACAGTAAGCGAATGCTCGACGTCAATAGTGGCATAGATGATGAAACCGATGAAAGTCAGGAGGAAGCCGAGGGCGATGAAAGGGGACCGAAGACGCGTATAGTCCGAGGCAAAGGCCAGGATGAGGAGAACACATGCACCGACGACATTTGGTGCGACTGTGTAAAGGTTCGTCTTGATCTTGTTGTAGCCCAATCTACCCACAATCTGCGGCAAGAAGAGCGATACCGATTGCAAGGGTACACCAAGGCAGATTTCGATGACAAGGAATCCGTATGTCGATGGTTCCTTGAAGATGACAAGTGCGTCTTTGAGGTTGAACTCTTGGTTGACGACGGACGAAGAGTCAATCTGAATACGGGTGAAGGCCAATTCTTTCTCTGCTTCGTTGAGAAAGTTGGCTTCGTACGCGTTCTTGGGGAGATACCAGTATGCGAAGAAGGAAAAGAGAACTGTAAGCGAGCCCTCAATAATGAACAGATACCTCCAGGAGTCTAATTTGGACTGAATTTGAAATACACCGAAAGCGAGGAGTCCGGAGAACGCATTCGCAATGTTCGAGGCAGCGTAGAAGATAGCAAGGCGTCGTGCGAGTTCGCCACGGCGGTAGAATGTAGTCAGGTAGTAGATTACCAGAGGGAAAAAGGCGCTCTCTGCCATTCCTATTCACCCAGTTAGTCCATAAACGTTTCTAGACTCGAATTCGTGAATCCACGCATCACATGACTTACCCAAAAACCATCGCAACGCCATCATGCCACTCCAATTCTGTACACTGGCGGCCAGCAACGTCGCACTGCCAAAGCAAAACATCATAATTGGTAGTACACGATGTGGACCGTACTTCTTTCCCAGCATACCAACTGGGGGTGCAAAAATTACGTATGGCACGTAAAAGATGCTCAGCATGATATTATACTGATTCCCCTTGAAATGCAAGTCTTTATCCATACCATCTGTTTTGGCATTTCCTAGGTTCCCCTTATCAAGAGCATTAAAAAGGTACATCACGGCCAGCATCGGCAAGATTCGGATATCGAACTTCCATGTTAAAGCCTTTTCGTTTTCGTAGCTGGGGAGGTGTTGAGTTGTGCCTTCGACAGGAACCGGATGTTTGGACGATGAGGCCGAAGCAGTGACTTTAAGGCCATCGTCCTTGGCCAACTCTGGGTCCTGATGCTCCGACATGTTCTTTTTTTTCTCTCGGCCTGCGCGACTGCAATGGCGGGGTTGTAGGATGCGAGTTCAAGCTGTCCTCGAGACGAGGGTCCAACAGGTTGGGATGGAAACGAGCAAAAAAAGGAAGAAGAACAACCACGAGACGCGACGGAGGGAAGAAAAATCAAGACATTGGGAATCAGCAGCCTTTTTGTATGACTGATCGGATCACCATCCGTATCATGCAATCCAACTTGCTAGTCAGTCAATCGTACAACCTTTCTTGCCGTGGAGTTACATCAAGACGCCTGCCATGGAGTATGCGCTAAGCTCAATCCCTGTGCAGCCACACGTTCGCCGCGACGTAACCCTTTCCAGGTTTTGACCAATACCGCTTATGTTACCCTCGTGGCACGCCTGCTGTGAGTGGTTCGGGGGACTGCTGCACCGTTCAACGCGGGATCGGCGTGTAGGGATCAGAAGGAGTTTGGGGTTGGATGAGGTGCGGAGTGGAGATAAAAGGGTTAGTAGATGATAAGAAACGGGCCGCTTTGGGAAGCGATTTCGGAGAGAAGGGCTTGCGATTCCAACCATAGGGTCGCTTACTAGTTTGTCTGTTTGCAGATGCAAACTGTATTTTTTCGCACCAGCTGATTTTTTGTCAGTTGTGTTGAAATTCCCTCGTTGGCAGGTATGTAGGGCTGAAGATGTTGATGGCTGTGGGTATGGTTGGAGTGGAGGTGGGGTAGGTGGTACGGGCTCCACTGATACTACCTTTCTCCGCATCACGGACGTAGACGAAGGAGTTGGAGAAGGCACTGCGGTTCTGTCTCGAACAACAACAAACGAGAAACATGGTATCTCATAGCTATGCCAGATATCAAATGTGCTGTTTATCTCACTAGTTTTTCTATGTTTCTATGGAACAGTACTGCCCACAACGTATGCGACAAAGTGGACAAATCGATTAGTGATGCTGCACCATCATCTCGGCGCACAAAGAAAACGCCACAGAGATACATGACATGAAACATACATTCAAATCCTATGCAGTCATTTCTGGCAAATCTCCAGAGCGGTAAACTCTCTCCATCTTATCTTGGCACTATTTAATAGGCGGGGCCCCGTTATCAGCGCGACATGCCTCGGTTACACAAGAAAGCGTGCGATAGCGGCTATCAATCAAGACTATTTGTTATCATGCTTTGATCACTACACAGTCATCCTATTCAATCTTTTGCTCCACAGCAGCACGACAAATTCCCGGATAGAGCGAAACTTTAGATTGCAGGCTGCAAATGCGGAGACACGGCTAATGCCTCCTTATCAAATAGTTGAAAGTTGCCAAGGAGTAGGAGAGGATTTTGCCGAGAGAGACAAGATGGCACTGGGTCGTGTGCTGCACAAGTAGAATTGCGGTTTTTGTAATGTTGCCTGCTAGCACAAGGCCTGCCTGAAAGCAAACAAAAAGGACACGCTTGTTTTTCTTCCAGACCGTCTATAGTTGAGGGCAGAACAGAAAAGAAAGACAAGTCATGATGCCCGACCAATGTTGACTATAAGTATGTACGACATCCAGTAATATCCAGACAATAACAAAACTGCGCTCGAGTAAAATAAAAAACATGAGTTCATACTATACAACGCCAATGGGTATCCTTGAAGAGCGAGGCTTTTACTTGTAAACGCCTCTACCAAATGAACATAGGAAAATATGTCCGTGTCAGTTCCGAGGAACTAAGCATCGTCTTTTTACGGATTATGAGCAACTTCTTTGCCCTTTGATGAGCGTGGATGTAAAAAGTGAAGACCGCCCTTGGCGACGCCAGCGACATTGAAGTGTAGCGGTTCCTTCGGGCCCTTCTCCCTTACAGGCATCTTTCGCTTTGAACGACCCGAGACATACATGGGCTGCTGTGCATGGGTGCCAGTGCTGACGTGAGGCATGCTTTGCTTCATTCGCAGCTTGGGCTTCTTGTCGCGGTGCTCGTCATCAGTAGTCTCGTTGTCAAAGCTGCGAAGGCTACTCCGCTCAGATGAAAAGCGAGGAGTAGCCGTGGAGTGATTCGACGAACGTGTTGGCGTACGCTGGATGGGGCTCAAAGGAGCCGGCCTGGACGAGCGAGTAGACGACGCCGTCTGAATACGCTCAATAGGACTCAGCATAGCAGCCGAGTTAGCAAGGACATCCAGTCCCGAAGGCGCCCTAGTCGCCATGGAGTGAGTTCGAGATGAATAGGTAGGAGGAGGATCCTGGTAATCGTACATAATCTCTGAGTCCAAGCTCTTGTATTTGGCGGTGCCGTCGAGCTCTTCGTCGTGCTCCCAGCACGTGTCGTTGGCACCAGTGACAGGAGGGAGGAAGCGTATCTCGTTCCAGGTTACGTCCTCGTATTGGAGAGTGATGTAGAGAACATCTCCTTGCATCTTGTCATGAGCGATGCAATGATCTTCCAGGAATGGGAAATCCCATACTGCGCGATGCACAAGATCGGGAGGCAGAAGCGTAAGGGCTATGCGGCCAAATGGCTCGTCTGCGGGCCGGTGACCAGTCATTGGCATCCATGGTCTTCCTCGGAAGACGCCCTTGAAGGCAGTCTCAATGTGATTTGCAAAACAGGAGCTGTCCTGGCTGGGAAATTCAATATTTTGGTGCAACTTGCGCGATGCACACCGGCGATACGCATTGCTGTCGGGGTCGAAGGCGAACTTTTGCGACTTACGAGGCACAAAGATGACACAGGCGCTCCACGACAGGGGGTATTTTTTGTCATTGCGGATGGGAAGTTGGCCAAGAGTATGGTTTGCTTGCATCAAAGCTGGCAGCGGTGGCACTGGCGGCGCCTGTGGAGTTGCGCGGCGTGCTTTGGGTGTTGCAGGAGCAGGTGTTTGGCCTCTTGATATGTCGCCAAACTGCTCGATGCGATCGACTCTGTTTTCCAACTCCATGCTAAACTCGTCAACCATGGTCAAGCGCTCGCCCTGCAACTTGATTTGGTCGCTGAGCTCCGTAGTTCTATCCACGACAGCCTCGACGCGATCGTCCATGGACAGCTTCAAGAGCTGCATGTTTTGGTATATGCGAGCCTGGACCGCATTGTTGGTCCTGATGAGTTCTTCGCGCGCCATTCTCTCGCGGAACAGTTCTTGTTTGAGGTCGTGCTCCAACGACTCGAAGCGCCTGATTTCACGCTGCAGTTGCTTCATCTGGTCTACTGCGTGCATGTATGCGTCCATTGAGACGGCGGAAGCGGGCTCGGCCTCGTGGATCCAAGCCTGGTGCCCACAGCCGCAGAGCGAGCGGACCATGGAGTCCGGATAGAAGCAGCGGCAGGAGCAGCGCTGGCGGGCGCCATTGTCGGCCGGAGACGAGAGGATGAAGGTACATTCTCCGCGTGGCAGCTGAGCGTCTTGGGCCGGCGCCGGCTTTCCAGGCAGGTGGGTGGGAGGCTGCGTATTGTCAAGGAACATGGGGAGTCGACCTGGGTCGGTGGTGATGGTAGCGTGGTTGTTGGGAAAGCACCCGGCGGCTCATCGAAGGCCGGCAAGAGGGATGGAGAGCAGGACAGTGGGCAGGAGGGAAATGAGCGTGGACGTGTGGCTAGATGGGGGGGCAGTTGAGTTAGCTGGGGGTGGCCAGGCTCGACTAATGTATATGTAGGTATGGACAGGCACAGGCAAGTGGGCAGGGCAGCCTGGGCGGCTGGAGGCACAAGATAAGCAATCGTCGACGACTACACTAAGTACTCACCCTCAGAGCCGGACAGACGGGGCGCACGGGAGCATCCGAGTGGGCAAAGGCACAATCAAAGGGATGGACGGGGGACGTGTGCGGCCGTGGGTGGGCGAGGGAAGAGGGGCGATTGGGCGCGGCAAGTAGAGTGTATGTGTGTAGGTATGTAGAGAGTAATAGTAGGCAGGCAGGCAGGCAGGCAGGGAGGGCGGGCTACGAAAAGAGTAGAGCACTCGTCCGTGGGAGGAGGCTTTAGCAGCATGTGCAAGCGTGGGCCATGGCGGGTGTGCAGGTACTCTTTTCTTTTGGGCCCGAACTAGCTCCCGCGCCGGGGATGCGCAGGCCTGTCATGGCAATGGCTGGGGGGGATGGTGGGTGGTGGGTAGTGGGTGGGTGGAAAGCTGGAGGGTTTGGGTTGCATGTGTGAGGGAGAGGGAGGGTGTGTGTGTGAGCTGGGCGGGAGAAAGAGATAAGAATGGCGGCTCGTGGGCAGACGCGGGCCAATGAGGGGCGGCGAGGGCGAGTGGCGGGACGTTGTGGGCTCCGCCGCTGCCTTATCGCGACATGCACACACACAGACACGACGCCGCTGTCCCCCACGCTGCCAGCCGCTGGTCTTGTTCTGATTGGGCCGCCCACATGGCGCCATTAACGCAGAAGATTCCATGCTGCTGGCTGCTGGCTGCTGCTGGCTGTGTACTTACTGTGCAGAGTACTTGATAAGTAATGCGCCCCCGCCGCCGGCCATGGAGCGGTGACGCTGCTGCATGTTGCCTTTGGCATGCTGCCCGCTCTCGCCCCAGTGCTGGGCTCGACGCTGACCCCCCGGCGCCACACAGCCACGGCCCCTTGCTTGGATGACACACGCCGGCAGCAATTAATTGCCCTGTTATGTACTTGCATGCTCCAAACACGTGCACTGATCTGCGCCCATTCTTGCGCCCATTCCCACTACACTACACACTTACTTACGTCCGTACTACACACATATCCTACTCCCCTGCCCTCTCGTCGTCGTCGTCGCCTCCCTGCTGACTCATCCGCTGCCAAGACCGTCGCCAGCCGACCACGCACATGCTCGGGAAAACGTGGACTGGCAGCGTCATTTCCATTCGTCCTTGATCCAGTGGTGGAACCCATCAGGTAAAAGAAAATGCTCTCTGCCCGCACCTCCACGCCGTGACTGTACTGCATGTATGCCCCCTCCGACTATTTCGTCATCTGCAGCCCGCCGCCCGCCCTGCCATTCGCGCAATAAACGCTCATCCCGCAAACCCGCCATATTCCCATAGTTTCTCCCTGCAGCCCGTTGCTTCTGGCCAGGTGCATTCATGTCTGATGGACTCCTCCTGCCAAACAGGGCTAGCCCACGGGAGCACCCGTTGACAGTGGAGACGCTGTGCAATGCAAATGTGTGCGCATCCATCTCGTCTCGAAACGGAAATACCGTGGGTTCACGTAAAAACCAGTTTGCTGACCTTTGCTGTTCTTCTTCTTCGTCTTCTTTTTCACGTTGCCGCCTCCTTCCTCCCGACTGATGTGTGTCGTAAGTATGTACACGCCAACTCACCCGCACGCACGTCATGCTGCTGCCACAACCATCCCGTGCCTGGATGCATGCGCTACTCTCCCACTGATATGCTTTCTTTTTGCGATTAACCACGGCACCACCTCGCAATGCCAACTCCCAATCCAGCACTCTTTCCTGTCTGCTTTGGGCAACGATGCAACGCCTGACGTGTGTGCTGACAGGAGAAATTGCAAGGCCCATACAAAAGACGCTTTCCTGACACATGGACATGGCACTAGCCCCCAAATCATCTAATGAAGCTATGATAGAGTTTGAGCCTGCTGACAAGGCCACGCCCAAATTGTGAAGCAGCAACGCGTCGTTTGAGGCTGCAAGGGTCGTGCCTGCCACTTCGGCCCTCGGAGCGGCTTCTCTCCGGTTAATTTGCCAAGACCACCGAGTTCAAACACTCTGCACACCCCAAGTAGTCACTGTGGCTGGACTCTTCCCAGAATTTACATACGTCGAGAAACAGCTTACTTAATGCCGGAAGAGAACTGGGTTGCTCACGGGGGTGTTCCCGCGTGCGATTTGTGCCATTCCCGAAAGGTACCTCCACTCTCTCCACCATCCCCTTGTAGTCGCCGGGTGACCGTGGCTTTAACCAAATTTCGCTGGCCAACCGTCTCGGAACTTGTCTGTATCCTGCATCCGACACTGACTGCCACCAGGTCAAATGTGACCGCAAAGAGCCATGTGCAAACTGCGTAGCGGCCAAGGCCGAATGCTTGCGGAACAGGCACAAGCGTGTTCCCCGACCCAAGGTCCGAACGTAAGTACCCCGCGCTCATTCTAGTACACCGCGTCTGGCAAGAGCAGCAGTGGCAACACCAAGCTTTGCGCTTGCCCCACTGTGGAGGCTTTTGTCAAGTCCTCGTGCTCACGTCTAACAATTGTACAGCGATGATAAAATACAGGCGCTTGTACAGAGACTCTCCTCTCTAGAACACTCCCTACATGGCGCTCATCGCAGTCCTCCCAATCCAATGCAGGAGCCTGATATGACAAACGCCTCTGTCAAGCCAAGCACTGAAGCAACACCCGATCGACCACCAAAAAGGAAACGTACAACTAGCTCTCAAGAAGTATCATTGCCTCCAACCACGCCAGAAGTTGATTCGACTTCGCAAACAGCAAACGAAGCTCGATTACACATTACCAAAGAGCTATCTACCAATGGCTTGCTATCAGGACACCAACGCTCGGTCCTGGAGACTGCCATGTCCTTTGTTGATCAATTGTCACATGCGCCTGCACAAAACTTGACAGACCGCAGTACTTTTGACAAGTCGATGCACATTTCCACAGACCTTTCCCAGCGCGAAATTGTCAATGTCATTCTCGGAAGTATGTTCACCTGCCTCGCGGTTGACTAGCAGGCTGACAGCCACTTTAGATGAGTTCAAGGCACGGAGTGAAGCCGCCGTTCGCCATCATACTATCGATCACCTACCGGCCAAGGCCATTGAGAGAATCGCTCTTGCTCTAATGGCAGGCGCTGCCGATGACAAAACCTTGAATCTCTACAAGGTTATCGTGCATTTCCAAGCAGCTGCCGTCATGTATGCTAGCCAGTTGCAAGCTCCCAAAAGCGCTGCAGTGCAAAAGCAAATTCAGCAGATGGAATACGATCACATAGTAGCCGCACTGACCGCCTTGGACAACATAAGCTTCATGACATCACCCTCGCTTCTTCTAGTGCAGGCCTTGGTGACAGGAGTAAGTCAACTGACCCTGTCAATATTACTCTGTAGCTCATCATATACAGGCGATCATGATGCAAATCATAGGCAACCCAGTACAGTGCTGGGAGCTCACAGCTCACGCATCACAAACAATTGTAGCCCTCGGATACCACAATATTGACAAGACGGTGCCAGAGACTGACGAGGAGCGCGAGATCTACGCCGTAGTTGCTCAATGTGCAGAGCTTGACAGTACCATGAGTCTGTTGCTTCTTCGACCGAGGTCACTTCCCAAATTTCAAATCAAAATTCACGACCAGCTGCGAGCAGACCCTTCGAATCCAATGAGTGTTCTAGAGTTGCTCTCTGTACAAGACAAAATTCTAGACTTATCCCTCCCTCAGCGCACCAAACGATCGCCGGGTGCTATGAAAGAAGAGGTAGCCCAGTTAAGAACTCAGATGAAAGACATATATATTCTGATGGAGAAGGTAACCTACCCGGTCTGTAATTACGATTGGTGCGAAAATACTAATTGCTGCGTAGGAGCGTCAATTGCACCTCCTGGACAGTAGGACCGACGCTCTTATCCACTACAAAAGCATGGAGTTCAAGTACTTCTCCATCTTGACGTCTGTTCACAGGTTGAGCCCCACTGTCACGACGAACTATCTGGAGCGAGAAGAGTGTCTTCAGAGTGCACGGAAGGCGCTCGAATGTGTCAAGATGATCGAACAGCTCGCAAGGACCCTGGATCATTTCATTGAAGGCTTTGACCCATATCTATCATGGTAAGATATAGTGTCTGGGTCTACGTATGGCTTGCTTACATTATATAGGACTTTGTTTTCACATCCTCTGTGTCCGTTCTTTGTCGTCTTCTGTAACGTAGTTGGAACCTCTGATCCTCGCGACTTTCAGCTTCTCGAGGATGTCATCGATTGCATCTCGTCACTCGTTACAGAGAACAAATACGTCAACCGTTTGCATCGGCTCTGCGCAACACTGCTCGGTCTTTGCAAGCCCCTGGTAGGGAGCCCAAGCGCACAAAACCAAATGCAACAACCGACCTCGGATCCCACCACGTCTTTGGCGCCATATCCTACGTCAATGCCTCACAACCATGGCCCTGATATGTTGTCCAGTAGTGATGGCGATACAAACAATGGGATGATGAATTCTTCCTGGAACGATAACATGATGTGGCAGTTGTTCCAGTCGCAGCCATCGCTGGATTGGTTCAACGCTGATATCCTTGATCCCGCTTGGGATATTGGTCAACCTAGTTGAGTAAAGGCAGTAGAGGTTGGGTTGCTACTTTGATTTTTGGTGTCTTCTCCAGCGTATAGATCGGTATGTGGCGGGCTATTGTTGTAAGGATTATAGGTTTAGACATTCATGCATGTGATGTACATTTTTCGTATTTCATGGTAAATATGACATTATCCGTTTTGTTATTCAACACATGCAAGATAAAATATGTTTTGAGAATGATTTCGGACTACAACGGTGATGCCAATTAAGGTGCGAAATGCGATACCACCTTTTTCAAGCCTAGACATAGCCCACTCAAAAAAAGTATTCATTTTGGATTTTTGCCCTCCGCACATTGCAGCTATCCCGTAGTTCTCTCCAATTTCAAAAGACTAGCCCACATGATCTGCAAAAGCCTCGCTTCCTTCTCCGAGGAACATCCCTCCCGCAAAAGCCATATAGTGCAAGCCTCACTACCCCGCTTTAGGGTGGCGGCGCGTTGGGGACTCCGGCCGCCCCACCACCCTCCAATGCTTATGTGTACGTACCCACGTACCTACCTTCCCGTGCAGTCCCGAAATTCGGCCAGTCAACAAACCTAAAAAAAGAGGCCATGACTTGACAAGACCTGTCAAAAGCCAGACACTTGTATCTCTACATCTGCTGGTTTTCTTACTACTCCAAGAAGCTTGAAATTTGTGTAGTACGTACTACTTTTCTTCTCATTAGAAAGGAAATACCAAAGCAAGAGTGAAACATACAAGATCAAGATGGCTACTACTACTACCGCCTCGACACCCGCATCCCGCGACCCCACCGCCGACGAAGCCCTCGCGCTGTTCAAAGGGATTGAAGAAAAGTTTCCAGCCAAGACACTTGGAGATGATAAGTGGTATCTTCTCGCTGTACGTCTCATCCATCCCTCTTCATTCCCTTCCCCCCCACGAACAAACTCTCATTAACATCCGCATGTATGAAATGTAGCTCTCAGTCATAGTCAGCGGCGGCCAACCCAACTTCGTACCTTTACTCTACAAACACTTGATTGCGCGGCCCGAGTATCAGAGTTCAGAGGAGCGACAGAAGTTACTCCGGCGCATGCGCGAGGTACTGTTTAAACTGGTGATTATCGTCGGTGTGTGTAGGCCGCTTGAGGCGGTGTTGGATCTTGATGCTGCAGTGGAGAAGGAGGAGGATAGGGATTTTACGTTTACGCGGTATGATAGTCCCCTTCTTCTCTCCTTGATTTCTTTTGAACCTTTTGAGATGCTGTATTGGAAAAAGGTTAGAATGTTTACTGATATCGAGGTGATGAGCACAGAGAGGGCTGGCAATGCGACGAAGCGAATTTGCAGCGCGGCGAAGCATGGTTGGGGAAGCTGTACAAGCATAATCTTCAGGGCAAGATTATTAACACTTTTGATGCTAATAAGGATTTTTGTAAGACCCCCCTCTCTCCTTCTGCTCTAACTTTAAGGTAAAGAAAGAGAAGTCTTGAGAATGCTGACATGAAGGTCCCCAGATTGGCTTACGAAAAATATTACATACGGCCTCTTTCTGTCTGATCACAACGTCCTGAACGATATCGAGACGGAGATTACCGTCCTAACGGGAATTGTGATGCAGAATCTTCCGCGTGAATCGGCGTGGCATCTGCGGGGCTTGCGGCGGATTGGGGTGGCAAAGGAGGATGTTGAGGTTATTCGGGAGTGTGTAAGTCTGAATTTCTTCCTTCGTCTTTGTTCCTCCGCTTCCCTGCTCGAAAGATTACTTGGAAAAGAAAATGACTCTTGGGGCTTGGATTTCTTTGAGATAGTGACTGAGCTGACCAAATCGACACAGTGCGAGCTTGCAGCGAAGTTTTGTGGCATTAGTTTGCACAAGGTGCCAAGGGTGGAGGATATTGAGCATGAGGTGTAGAAGATTGGATTCTGGGGCTTCTCAAGTATCCCCTATCGGATTTACCCCAGAATCTTCTTGATAGGGATTAGAAATGTGGGATGGGATTGTGGTTAACTGCCTTTCTTTTGCCATTACCTATATGCATAGATCCTAGCGTGGTGACCATAGTGCTCCTTCGACAATTCACTTTTCTCTCGTGTATCGCGCTGGTGCGTCGGTACTCCTCTTGGGAGTTGTTCCAAATATGCGCGCTCGATCGGGGATATTGGCGTAATTCCAATCTCATACAGACGGAGGCAAAGGCAAAGACAGACACGGCGGCCGTGCTGGTAGCACTGGAGGTGACGGAGGTGACGGAGGTGGAAGGGTTGGTGTTGGCGGAGGAGGCGGAAAAACTGGCGGAAATGATGGTGATGTACCAGGCGGAAAAGGAGGCGGTGGCGGTAGAAGAGGAACAAGTCGAGAAATCGATGCGTAAAATGGTCGTTCAACTAGTCGAGCGTGATTGGGCGCAGTGCGCCGTTGCCGCGAGAGCTTGATCAAACCCATGATTCGACCGTGAATAAATGCGAAATGAAGAGGAATGTTGGTGTGGGGCGTTTCGTGTCGCATCGCATGCGTGATATTTAGGTCTATTTTTTCACACTCCTGGATGTCACATAGGTGTACTGCTACTGGTTGCTTGGAGTATTTAACCGTGGTTGTGCAGGTGAGACAGTAGTGGCTAGGGGCGCTGGAAACAGCTTGACTATTTGATATTAGCATGAAATGGGACTGCTTTGATTGGTAGCAAGTTAGTTTGTTCTGGTTGTATACAAGAGGAGAAACGTTCGTGTAGATGAATCAAATCTTTAGCGCTGTCTTCCCTGGTTGACAATTGGCGGTCCGAATTCTCATATTGCCACAACAAATACGAGTGAGAGTTCCTTCACCTTGAATAGGCAGTAGCTCCTTCCCTTCTCTTTTTGCTCGTATTCAAGTCTCACCTGCAGCGCTAGCACTCAGGTTCAACGCCTCTCACTATCTTCCAATACGAGATACTCGAAGCTCAATCAGTTTCCTTATACTCTATATTTTCAACCACTGCAAACATCTACAACAGCTGGAGCCACCAGTGAGTCGCCTTCAACATTTCCTATCTAAACACCTCTTTCACTTACCAACAACTGCTTCAAGACGGCTGAGTTGCTACCAAACGAACCATGGCAACGCTCCCTGGCTCCTCCGAGACTGAGGCGTCACCTGTAGCTCATGGAGCGCCAACCACTTTTCACGACTGGCCTCAGCTTTCTAATGAGCTCAAACTTGAGGTTTTGTCGTATTTGCTCACCTTTTCTGTAGGCATTGATATTTACCGGGGGACTCCTTCTTACGACTCCCGTATGGAAGATTCACACCAGAAGCGCTTAGACGATCACCTCTTTCCTCTGATTGCAACCAGAAATAGCAACTTAGCCCATCTTGCGCAAGAAGCCTACTACAAGCATAACATCTTCATATTACACTTCATGTTTGATTTCGATAACATCACCTACTGGCCAAAGGCTTCTTGTGCCAAAAAGATCCGGCACGTGATGATTTACCTAGGATTATACACTGGTTCTACTTTGGAAGAGCTTTTGCTTGATTGTCAGGGAGCAGCCCTGTTCCGACCTACTAAAAACCTCGGAACCGATGCTATTACCTGTCCTAAAGGAAAGGCTGAGGCTACAAGAATTGCCGAAACCATACAAGACCATCAGGAAACATATCCACTTTTCAACAATTTACAGACTCTTTTCATCGATGCCTCCATAGTATGTGACGATTTCCACAGTTTGGAGGAAAATGTGCCGGAATGTAAATGTTGCTCTTGTCCGCGAGATTTCGAATCTTTAGGCAAAGTGATAGGCGGACTTGAGCTTGTGCTACAGGCTAAAAAGGTTGTCGCAACGACGCAAGCTACGTGTCTATGTAGTACGACAAGTTGCCATGAACATAATCGCATCATCAATGACCTTGCCGAGAGAGCAACAAAAAGGTAAGGCACCATGCCATGAGCGTCAGATAACAAAAGCGGGAATCATAACAGTCGAGCTACCGGCAGAGGGCGAGAAGGGAAATCAAATTCGTGCGACTGCGCACACAGCAAGGGCGGTTGTTTTGATACAACACTGAAGGTGGACATTACGATTTACTTCTCAGGAAGGAATATTGAGCAGAACAAGAAGGAAACTCCATGGCGAAATGAAGGACATGTATAAGCAAATGGTACCTTATCACGGCAGCGAGAACAAAAGGGTGAACTGATACCCCATGTACAAAGCCATCAGGAACCACCCATCCCCCAGCAGGGGGGTTCATTTAGCCTAACCTGCATTACCTTTAGTCAAGTACCAATATACGTATAAACTTCCAAGACCGCTAGAGCAACTCACTAGCGATTCATCTTGGCAACAATCTCACTACCCATGTACCTGTTATTTCCCCCTGTTGTTCGTGCCCATGTCCATGCTACTAACAGTAAGTAGTCGGAAAGATAAGGTAAACATGTTCCCTGCTACTACTAGCCCAACTCTAGACACTTCTAAACCCACATCTTTGTTACACACCATCCAAACCGTGAGTCACATAAACAGCACAAGCACACGATCACACTTTTTTTTATCCTTAGTACTCTCAACATTGCAATATACCCAATTGACTTTGATTTCATACATATTATGCAATCCCAGCACTTTAACTCCCCCCCCGAAAAGAAAAAGAAGGAAAAGCCGTCAGAACCAACCTCCCGAAAACAAAAAACGTACATACATGCAAAACAAAGAGAGATGAAAACTGTAATAAGTCTGCCACTCTCCCGTTCCTTCTATAAATATATATATGCTCATCAGAAAAAACCGCCACATTCGCTTTCCCTTTTGCAAAAAAAGAAGAATAAGCATATATCATATACCCAGGGTAAAACGTTGATGTAGAAAGAGGAAGGAACAAGTACTAGCAAAGAAGAATAAGAAGGAGAAAAATGGCAGAGATTTAAAAAAAAAACTACCATCCCTCATCCTTCTGATTCTTGCCCTTGCCCTTCCTCGCAGCTTCCTTCTCCGCATCCGTCATTTCAATCAGCTCGGCGCCCTCGAGCCTGTATCCCTTGGCATCGACGATATGTTCATTCGACGATGCCAAATATGTCTCGTGCAGTCTCGGTAGGAAATACTGCATAACGTTATCGGCAAGACTCTTCGCGACAAGGCCCTTGTCGACCCAGAAATGTCGGACGAAAACGCCCTTGCAGCCACCTCTCTTCTCTGCTTCAGGCGCACCGTTAGCCTCGACGCAAGGCAAGACGCGGATATCGTCTGGACGATCATAGTCGTAGCGGAGGTAGTTTCCAAAGGCCGCTTGTTCGTGGGCCCAGCCCTTTTTCCACTTGGCGCAGCCCTTGTAGCGGGACTCCGAGGGGCACTCGGCCCATGCCTTGTACATTTCCTGGGTGCGCTTGCTCTGGCGCGCAATGACGAAGCCAGTATTGAGGTAGCGGTTGCCCTTTGAGTCGTAGTTTTGGGGCTCGTTGGGGTCGATGGACATCATGGCGAGGGTGTCGTCAGTCATGTTCCAGTAGTTTAGGAGCCATTCGAGGGGAAGGTGCGGGTAGTGGAACATGACGTCCGAGTCCATGAAGACAATGTATTCGTGCGTCTTGAGGGCTTCTTTCATCATGGGTACCTTGACCCAGGTGCCCCAACGGTCTTCGTAGTCGGGTGCGCGGATAAACTTGTAGTCGTAACCGTGTATTTGAGCTGTTGAAATGTTAGCGCGGGTGTTCAATTCATATCAAAAGGCGGGGGTATGGTCTTTTCAGGCATTGCTTAGATTGCGCCGTGCCATGGATCCATTGGCGCCCCACATCCGTCACCGGAATACATACCAAACATGTAGTGACCCAGCATGCCGGCGGAAAGTGACCGCATGCCCTTCCACTTCAAGTGCTTGTTCATAAGCTGACCCTCTTCTGTCAAGGGCCTACTGTCAATATCCAAAATTAGGACCTTCTTCCCCAGCTTGCTTGTAAATCTCGGTTTTCCGGGCAACCGGTATACATCTCCATCTTCATCTGTGAACTCTGGAGCATCAATTGGGTGTAATACGGGGCCATAGAGGGCTTTTATTATCGTCGCCATGGTTAGGTCGTCTTGAGGAAGGGTTACATTTTGGGTATGCGGATATCTAGATAATGTCAGCTGGGTCGAGACTACCACGATAGAAGCGATTCTTACGGTGAAGAAGAAAGACCAGCAGGTATGTATGAGGAGGGAGTGCTGTAGTAAATGAATGCCAGCACCATTGGTACCATGGCGACGAGCAAGACACGACGCCACCGACCTTGCGGCCCCATGTTTGCCAACGATTGGTACGAGTAATCACTCATGATTGACTCTAATTGTTCGGATTTTGATAGAATAGGTGGACATGCAGCGCCTCAGGGCACGTAGAGGCCCGGTTTGGTGGTGCTGTCTCGACTCCAGCACCAGCAGGTGTCGCAATCGTCTCTCTTCAGCGTCCAGATACACACGAGGGGCGTACGCGATGTGTGCGCCACGAGGCGAACTCCGGCAATATTCGGATGACTGCGGGGAATTCGAGTCGACAGAGGGTAGGATACAACAGCCTAGGTTGCGCAAACCGACCAGGAACGGAAAACGGCAGCGCTAGGGCAAAAGGAATAAAACAGGAATAAAACAGGGCGGTAGATGGCGAGGTAAGAGCTATGGAGGGGTGGCGAGACGCAACAAATCGAGTGCGGAAGCTAGCAAAGGAAGACGAAAGGAGCGTAAGAAAGTTGTTGGTAGTCGTGTTTCCAAAGGAGAAGTGCGTGTCAGACCGGAGTGGTTTGTATCCTTGTTATGCAGCACGACGACTAGTTCCCAGACGGGCCTAGCGCAGGTGAATCGGGGATAGCTGCCGGCACGGAAAGGGCTGAAACGCCAGGAAGCGGCGATGCTGGCAGTTGTCGATCCAAGGCGAGAATTCACAGGTACGAGTGCAGATAGTATGTAAGTATGGCCTCTGGGCAGACTGCTGAGCATTGTCGTGCTCCTCTATCAGCTCTCTGAGCTCGGCTGATGCCATCTGCCCTGCTCAAGACCCCTTTTCATTTACGAGGTTGTGCCATTTCAAATAAACCTGCTAGCTAAAGTCTAACAAGCGCCTCCCGTAATCGTGAGTACACGCAAGCCGCCGCTCGTACCCAGCTCAAATGGGGGCATACCATTGGCGCTAAGTCTACATCCCACTTAACCCCGTGCCCCTCCAGCACTACTGCTACGTACCTTTTCCCCCTAAAGCGCCTAGTCGGTACAGCCTACCACGCCACGCGTGGCTACAATCTGCTTACTGTGGCACTGCGTATAATATGGCGCAGTCATGTACGGCGGCCAATTGCGCGGTACATGTTCCCTAAGCATGCCATCCTGGTCGAGGGGTCCGTCAGCTCCGCAGCCTTCTGGTTAGTGTCTACTATACATAGACTCTGAGTAATGCCGACCCAGACCCTCTCATCCGTCCAGCAAGCGCAACAATTCATAGTCCTTTGCGATACCAGGGCTGCTCTTTGCACAGCTCTGAATCAGTGCCATCATGATCCCTACCCATTCTCGCCATCCCTCAGGTAACGTGTCTCGCAACTTGGCGTCGGGAGACAGCGCTACGGCGTGAAACAGCAGAACCTGCCCAAAACACTGGCAGCACCACCCAAACTTTATGGGCAGAGCCGTTAACATCTGTGTACACAGACCCATGGTTGTCGGCCAATACATGCCGCCTCGAAGGCCCTTGCGCACTTCATCGTACTCGGACTCGTTGGTATATGCAGGCGCATGCAATGCTTTGTAGAGAAAAGGCCGCCCAATGTGCAACTTTGCGACCAGGTAGCGACTGCGCAGCATAGCCTTCGCAATAACATGCGCAGGGCTGGCCGAGTCGCTCGAATCGTCACTGTCAGAGAACTGAAGTGTTGGCGGAAGATTTTCCCGCCATTGCTCGAGTTGGTGATGCATTTCTGATGTCAGACTGGCACTGGGGTAGCCTTCCTTCTCCGCAAACGTATACAGGCTCTGCTTCACCCGAGTGAGAATGATGCGATGCGCGGCTTGGGCAAGGAAATGAAAGTTGAACAGAGAATCATCTTCGTCGCTGAGCAGTCCTGAAATCAACGTCTTAGGCCGTGGACATTGTGTAAACTTTGGCAACGGTATGTCTGACTCGTAGTCCAACAGCCCACTATGGGGCAGTAGATCCAGCTCCTGTGTAATCACTGTCTCGTACATCAAGGTGCACCAGAAGAGCCTCGAGAGCATGTCCCCCTCCCACGTCTCATAATCGATTGTTGATGTGCGTTTGAGAATGCTCGCACAACACAAGGCAGCTCTGTTCACGGTAGTCCAGGAATCCAAGGGTCGCAGGATTTGGGCATAGTAAAGCGTCGATAGCATGTAAAACTGGCCAGCCTGGAGATCAGTCTGACACATGAGAAACCCAAAGCGCTTCCGGGCTTCATTGAAGAACTTGAGGCCAGGAGGTTCGTCAATAATAAGCTCGTACCACTCGGGAGGGACAAAGCCTCGCCCAGCCGCAGAGTGCCGGGAAGGAAGACTAAAGTCGCCTTCTTCATGCGCCTTGACGGCTAAGCATCCTAACGCTAGTACAACAAGTACCAGCGCCGTCTCGATTTCATAACCGAATTCGTTATCCATCGCTATACCCAATGTGCTCGAGAAGAAGTGGTACTTGTCTAGTATAGGCGTATTGCGATGGAATACCGCAAAGTATGCATCTGCGAGACCTTTTACCGCCGACTGCGGGAGACTCATCAACCAACTATCGGGGCTAGTGTTGTACGGATGGCTAATGTCCATTGGCAGCGGCAATCTATGGTTCTCGATATCAACAATGTAGTCTTCGGGAAGCTCCTTGCGTGCGGAGATAAACACATCGGGAAGGATCTGTTGAACAGCAGGCCATAAGGCAACCCGATGCTGACTGAAGGAGAGATCCACGGCACCTTGTGCTTCTGGGAGTGCAAAAGGGCTCTTGGCTGGCGTTCCAACAACCTGTGGGGACATTGCAATGTCATGTATGCTCAGCCTGTTGCGATGCAAACTATTTGAAGGCGCGGCTGTAGCATAGCTGCCAGGGCTGGGCTGAGAGAAAGTGGCATAAGGCGAGTGATGGTCCGGGATGGGTCCTGCAGGGGAGAGCGGCAATGTAACTGCAGCCTTGGGTGCATTGATGGCTGTAGTGAGATCTTCAATCTTGGATTCAAGCCTTCGGATAGCGTTTATAGCTACCGCCATGGACTGGTCCTTCTTTGTTGCTCGCGGTGCTTGGTAAGTGCACTCGAGATTCATGGTCCTGCAGTAGCCACATCTTGGTCGGTCTTCGTCGCATCGAGTCTTTCTTGACCTACATACGTCGCAGGCCTATCTACGTCAGTTGCGCGTTCACGTGATCAATTCACAGCTCAGCTTACCAGAGTGGCCATAAAAGAGCGCGCCTTTTTCAGCGATGACGCATCGCCGTCCTCATGGCTGGCGCTGCCTTCGCCATCGTATGATGCTTGCCGCTCCAGAGACTCTGCATGCGAAGCAGATATACTGGCATGAGGCCTCTTGGTCATAGCATCACAGGGCAAGATCTAGAAACAATGTGCATGCAAAGCGGTGAATTTTAGTTGGAGCGATGTGAAGTGATTGTCCGCAGCTATGGGCGGACAACGGCAATGGGGGTGACTAGGACTACTAGCGTGCGTGCATGGGCCACTCCAAAGCCATGTTATTTCCTTGCCAGCCTCCTCCCTCCCTTGTGTTTACTCTCCTCTCACCACAAACCTCTCCGCCTGCCGCCCGTAGTCGAACCTCTAACCTTGCCGCGCTACTAACCCACGTGCACTTTAGATATAGCTTGTTCTCGTGAATCCCAACTAATATATCTTGTAGATTCGCGTTCAGCACTGTCGTGGGTAACTGCATTCCCGTGCATGCCCATATTGAACAGAGAACCGTTCCTCTGTTGAACCTCTCATTGCCCTTGCCTGTATATCGCCCATAAACATGTGCCCTAGTACATGTTGAACTTTTGCTCGCCCAAAAACCTCCTCTCTGAATTCCCAATGTGGCGGCAGTCGACTGCAAACGCCCGTATTGTTGACGCTACCCTGGGTTCTCTGCGACCCTGTCAGCTCTGGATTTAAGGAGTGTAGAACAAGAAAGGGCCCGCCCAAGGGCTTCTCTGGATCCTCATATGCCTTTCAAATCCTGGATTCCTTACTCGATCAATGCCACGGGGGTTGGTCGTCTCGCTTTGTTGCCTCTCATTTAGCCGTTGATATGATACCGATGATATTTCGTCGTTATGATCAATTGTTAATTGTGACAAGCTCTTGAGTTTCTTCCAGAGATCCTCGGATGAGCTTGTTTACGTTGTACCCAGTTTTCTGCAAACCATGGCACCCCCTTGCCGGGTTGTTCAGACATGGCGCGTGGCGATTGAGGAAGCGGACAGTATCTTATCCTGGCCATCCATTGCGTTTCCTGTAACTCCTTTGACAGCCTGAATCTGTCACTGGCCAAGTTCAGCATATCCTGGTTCTGAGATGGACATCTTCGGACCCCGCCTGACGAGTTTGCCCAGCATCCGGCACAACCTTGTGCGATATCAATCTCAATTATGCCAGTACTCGTATCGGTGTATCAGGTGTATCGTGTCGGTCAATTTCACCTCTGGTCGAATGCCGTTGCATGCATGAGTGGCTGCGCTCCGTCGGCTCAGAATTTCGATTTGTCGGCGTGGTTGCGGGCAGCGGCCCTTCGCCAATAAACTCTCCGTCTTCGTGGCTCCGTAAGACTGGATTCTCAATTTTCCTGTCAAGAATTCAGCTTATTTCAGAGGAGATTACTTTGACACCCAATGCCGTAAGTGTCTTTGTTGATGGATGATGTTGTGGCCGGGGACGAGTCGACTTAGCGCGCCAAAAACTACTGCCTACACACGGGACTCTCACAGGCCTTACTATCTGGAGACGTGCTACGATCAGAGTATTTCAGCAAGAGTGAGGATAGATATTTTCTTGAACTCTTGGGTATCTTGTCCACACTGGCTCAGCCAAGGACAAGATATCTGCTCTACGACTCTGTTCGTACCATTGGGGCACGGCTCACAAAGCGCAGCAAGCAAGTACTCGACATTTTCACTTGCGGCCCAGGGACTCCCCGCATCCCCCGAATCCACTAGTCCTCAGTCTGCAGTGGATCCTCCCCACAAACGGTGACCCCCTGTCTGACGAGTCTTGCTCCTGTCCAGTCACCGTTTCTTCTGTTTACAAGGGGGATCATTGCAGGCAGCTCACCATCAGACCAAGGACAGTCACTGCCAGCATGCCTTCGGTGATCTTGTTGTAGCCAGTAGGGGGTCACAGAAGGATTCGTGTCAGTTCTACAGAGACATATGCCACGGGCCAGAGCTGCCAAGACAGTGAAGTGACGCACACGGAGCTGCACAAACCAGCCTGAAGCGAGTGTGAGAGTCAAAGTTTGACAGGGACCTTGTATTTCCTCGAGTCCCTCACTCTCCTCTTGTTTACTGGGGAAATTTGCGTGTCTCCATTCATCTTCACACGGCGCCATCCTTGGGCCGTCAACACGCTAGACCCCTGTCTCCCTGCGCATATAAAAATTGCCTCCCCCCTCCACTCTACCTCCTCTACTCCACCTCATCAGCCTCGAAACAGCGAGTCGTCCTTCTTCCATACTTGCAAACTACTCTTCTCAAGTTCAATTCAAGCATCTGCTCAGCAAGATGACTCCCCCGACCAAAACGATCACCATGATTGAAACAAAACCGCGCCGCTCTATCGAGCTGCCAGATGAGGTGCTGTATAAAATAATCTTCTACACCCTCGGCCACAACGGCAGTGTCATCCATGGACGGCACAACGACATAACAAAGAGCAAGCTTTTTGAGCAGCTCCTCAATTTGCTCTGCGTCTCGTCGAAATTCCATGATCTCACAAAGTCGGTCTTCTATGGCAAGAGTAGTTTCAAGTTTCCAATGGACTTCGAGCGCTGCATGAGCCTCGTGAACAAACATGGAAACTCCCTTGGTCCTCTTCTCCCGCCAAGGTGGGCTCTACGCTCCCTCCGAGACATCACTCTCGAGATCCCTCTCATGGACTCACGCCTCGAGCTGCCCAACATTGCACGTCGCGGCTTCCTTAGTCGTGGCAGTCATGAGCTTCGCAAAGTCATCTGGTTCACTTCCGTCGGAGACCTCTACCGCTACTGCCCCGGTGCACGCATGCTCCGCCTTCTCACCAACAACCTCACGGAGCTTACTGTCATCAACATCCACATAATCGAAAACTTCCGTAACGAGGACAAGCATGGGGCAATTGATCTATACCGCGCTGCTGGCTTCAACATCCGTGCCGGCGAAGTCAACGTGCGCGTCAGCAATCTCATCACGCCCGATTGTCCTCAGAAGCCCTGGTATCCTGATTTGATCAAGGCTCTCAACATCCAGGAGAGGGTGACCCGCCACTGAGTGTGGTGACCGTCACGGATGGACGGCGCCTGACACTGATGGATGGTGACTGTCATTGATGGATAATGGATAATGAATAATGTATATTATATGGGTTGATGGATGGTAGATAGGATACAACGACCGAGCCCCTGATTGGGCAATCTTGTTCTTTTCAGATTGAGATAGTAGTACGTTGATCATATATCACCAGAATCCGAATCATGGCTCCCTATGAGCTTTTCAACATCTCCTGTGTCTCACTAAAACATTTGCTTTGTGTTGTGCCAAATTAACAGAACTATCAAGAAGCGAGGTGAATGTGGTCATTTTCTCATTGTTGTGTAAACAAACGGACTACTGAGTGTTTGCACAGACTTGATGATGTCCTCGTCTACCCAAAAATGTTATACAGATGGTTATTTTACAAAGTGGTTCAAAGAAGACCACGTTTCTGTCAAGTACCTGTCAGTACCATCTAACCCTGTCACCGTCTGGACCCCTTGCATCTTAATACAACGACAAGGTAGTCGGGAACTACGTGTGGGGTTGAATTGTGGAGAAAGGTTTGTCGTGTCATCGGCCCAGGAACAGCGGCATAGCCATGACTCGTGGTAACCCTCCCCCACCACGCACGCCATCTTCCCCGCTGTATATCTAAGCAGCACCGCGTACATTCTCTGACTCAAATAAACATGTCCCCAAACTACTCGTCTCCTTTTCCTCACCCGCAATCATGGCGTCCATACAAATCCATCCCTCCTTGACGCGTTCAAACGTCGAGGCTGCTCATGCTCTTATCAAACCCCACATCCACGATACCCCCGTGCTCACCAACACCACGTTGAGCAATCTTGCCTCGACACCCCAGACAGCCGAAGCACTGAAAGGAACCCAATGGGAAGGCCAAAAACCCGCCCATCCAAAAATCAACCTCTTCTTCAAATGCGAAAACTTCCAACGCATCGGCGCATTCAAAGTCCGCGGCGCCTTCCACGCCGTCACGCGCCTAATTGAGAAGGAAGGCATAGACGAAGTACGCAAAAAAGGCGTAGTAACACACAGCAGCGGTACATTTCCTCCCGTCCCTTATTCAGTCCCAAATTTAATCTTTCCAACCCACAGGAAACCATGCACAAGCCCTCGCCCTCGCCGCCCGCACCTTCTCCATCCCCGCCCACATCGTCATGCCAACGATCTCGACCCCCTCGAAAATCGCAGGCACAAAAGCCCAAAACGCAACCGTCCACTTCTCAGGCTCCACCAGCACCGAGCGCGAAGCCGTCGTCGCAACTGTAGTCAAAGATACAGGCGCCACTCTCATCCCGCCGTATGACGACCCGAACATCATCCTCGGGCAAGGCACGCTGGCCCTCGAACTCGAGGAGCAAGCCACCAAGTTGCTCGCTCAGGCTGCGACCGGAAACAGAAAACTAGATGCGGTCATCGCACCCTGTGGCGGCGGCGGCATGCTCAGCGGTATCGCGACTGCACTCCATGGCACGGGCATCCGCGTGTTCGGCGCGGAACCGAGTTTCCAGGGCGGCGACGATGCGCGCAGGGGTGTTGCAGCGGGCGAGCGCGTTACGTCTGTCAAGACGCTTACGATTGCGGATGGGTTGCGTACGCCGCTGGGCGAGCACAACTGGAGTGTGATTTCGAAGCAAGAGTATGTGGCGGGGTTGTTTGCGGTGACAGAGGATCAGATTAAGAAGGCGATGCGGTTGGTGTTGGAGCGCATGAAGTGTTTTGTGGAGCCCTCTGCGGTTGTGGGACTTGCGGTTGTGCTGTTTAATGAGGATTTTAGGAGGTTGGTGGCGAGGGAGGCAGGGCAGGAGGGGTGGAATGTTGGTATTGTTTTTAGTGGGGGGAATACGACAGTAGAGGCTATTAGCAAGATATTTGCTGAGGTGCCGGAGGTAGCGAAGGAGAGGCAGGAGGGGGTATTAGGGATCGATGGGAAGAGGGAAGTTGAGAATGTGGCGGGATGATTTTGTATATGTGTTTTGTTTTCATTATGTTACATATGTGGACGTTACTACGTTGCTACATCTCCTTCACCCATAGAGAAAGAAGTAGACAGATTCGCTCAAAGCCACCTCTTAAACTCCCTCATAACACCCAAATCCCTCTTCTCGCCCACACTAGTTCCATTACTCTGCACACTCTTCGGAAGTGTCGTAAAACCCTCCCTGCTCGTCAGACTCTCGACTCTGCCTAGCAAAAACTCCAACTGTCTATACGCACTGCTGGGCTGATACTGCGGCACCATGTGTCCACTGAGCGCCTGCTGCACATACGTAAGCTTGCGCTCGGTAATCGTCTTGCCCATGAATCCCTTTGCGCTCAAGCTAGTCTGGCTCAAATCGTCATGGTATGGAACGTAGAAGTCGTCGGTAGGAGGCTTCTGGAAGCCCTGGAGGCCACCCCACGTCATGTTCTGGATCGCCATCAACGTGCCGTTGTGTAGGAGCACGTAGTCGAGTTCGCCGTGCGCAATGATAGTGCGGTCCAGGGCATCAATGATGCGGGGGATAACTTCCCAGGAGGATGGCGGCGAGGTGTCAGTGTCGAGGACGCCATTGGAGCACTCGGCCCAGGGTTGGATGGGCGCGTTGATGGCAGCCTGAACGTCGCTGCGGTTGAAGTAGATTTCAGTGCGTGGAGGCAGGTAGTCGAAGGAGCCGGGGAAGCCGAGGGGGTCCCAGAGTAAGGGGCAGGTGGTTGCGATTGCATAGACGTCGAAGCAGGGGTTTGTGTAGAAGACGGCGTCGAAAATGTCCTGCCAGAGTGCACAGCCTTCTGTTTTGGAGGTGTTGGCTGGGGTCGGGAATTTGCTGGTAGGGGGAAAAGTGAGGTATTTCTCAATGTACTCAGTGTAGCCGCAGGCGTCGGCACGGGTGTGAATGTCGTCCATGAAGCTTTGGTTGAAGTTGAAGAGACCAGCCCATTGGTCAACGTAGGGGACTGCAGGGATATCGGTCAGGAGGCTGTCCTCAGCTACGCTGGGGTCGTAGAACATGACGCCCTTGACGTCGTAGTATGTGGAGTCGTTCTTGCTCAGCATGGCGTCGGCAATGTAAGGGACGTAGCGGCCGGCGTATGATTCGCCAGTGATGTACACCTTGCGGTTCTGCAGACCAAAAGTGTCGACAAAGTTCTTGAAGAAACCGAGAAACTCCTCAGCAGTCTCCTCTTGACTAGTAGCAGTGGGCTTTCCCTGGGAGAAGCCAGTGCCGACGGGCTGCTCGACCCAGACCATGTTGGTGAGGTTTGCCCAGTTCCATGGGTTGTAGACGGGACCTGGACCGCTGCCGTATTGCCATGAGATGGGGCCGTTTTCCTGGAGAAATCCTTCAAGAGAAGAGCAGCCGGGGCCACCTGCATCGTTTGTTAGAGGAAGTTTGTCATAGTATTCGGTTTTGGCTTACCGTTCAACCAGATGGTGATTTCGTCACTAGCATCTGGGTTCTCCGAAGGAAAGAACCAAAAGTAGAGCTCCCGAGACTCATTGGTAGCTTTGCTAATGGGCAAAAGACCAGCGTAGGACTCGCCAATATCGAAGTAGACTTCGGGAATGGCTCCAGCAGTGCCATTGACAGCAAAAGCTGTATGGCGTTAGCTAACTTCGCATCTCTTCTTTTCTGTATACGCACCCTTGGAAGCCTCAGTGTTTATGATATGAGCAGCCTGACGCTTGTGGGGGTGCACATTCTGCGTCGGGATACCGATGCGAGGGCGAGGGAATTCCACCTTCCTGCCAACGGAACGAGCGCTCCGAGCGGAGACACTGGCTGCGAGGCCATACACGGCAATGATTGATAGAAGCTGCATGGTGACTTGCTTCGGTATTGAGGTGCCGGGGATTGAGTGTTAGTCACGTACGAGGGGTGACTATCAATGGCCGTGAAAGAAACAAAGCGGTGGGCGCGCAGTCTTCTTCAAGTAGCAGGCGCAGCGCGCGAGACTGACATCATTTAGGCCTACCCTGGATAGCAACGCGGCACATATCTGGCTGTATTCCGATAGGTATGGGCGATAGTAGTATGAAAAAAACTGGAGCCTGGCTCTATGCCTGGTTAGGAAGGCGAGGGCATGATGGCAAGCTGCGGCTTGCTCGGCCCATTGCTTGACTAGCAATCAAAACACACACACACAACCGGCCGTTTGCAAAGTGCTCGCCAACGTCTACTGAACTCTATTTCTCATCAAGAAGAGCGACTGGAACTTCCAAACGGTTTCATAATATCCCTACATACTGCTCAGACACCGGTGGAAGTATCCAGTGTTTAGTACTCGTATGATAAACCACACAAACAAAACGATGGATCAAACTACTACTAGTAGTAGTAGTAGTAGTAAGTAGCACGACAAAAGCTTCTCCAAGCCCCGCCACGGCAACCAAGCAATGCCACGCCCACTCGTATTTCCCAGATAGCACCACGGGCGACGCAACTTCTTTGGCTGTGTGTAAAAAAAAAAAAGCGAGCTACTCTTATCTCTCTCGTTAAAGCCGAAGTGCAGTGCAGTGCAGTGCAGTGCAGTGCAGTGCCACAAGCTGTCCAATGCGCAGGCCCGCTGCAAATTGCTATAGGTCATGACATATGATGATTGGAGGGGAGGCAGGCTGCGTCTTTATTCAATCGGATTTGGCCGCGTCAATTGTCGGGGGATCAAGCACCATGGCGAATGCTTGTCTTGCTTGGGTGGGAATAAGGTGCGGGCCGTATTAACTGCATGAGGCAGCTCGTTAAGGTTTCGGAGGTGGCGCTCAGTGGCGCCGAGTTGGCAGCAGCCGTTGTGGAAAAATGTCGCACGAGGCTTGCGGAGGTTGGAGATGAACGGTATGGTCGAGTGGTCGGCGTCTTCGTATGCTAGTAGACAACTGCCGCATGTGGCTTTTGCGTGCGCCTGTCTGGCATATGTCGGGGCTGGGATAAGTGAGCCACAACCATGGTTGCAGTGGACACTAAGTAATAAGGTTTAGTGCAATACTACTGAACTCGTGCGCCTAGCAGCATTTGTTGACATGGTCGCTTTCTGCACAGAACGTTGGTTCTTTGTTTTGAAGTTTATTTTTTTCGGGGGGAGGGTTCAAAATTTCTAAAGTCGTCATACTAGGATTAATATTCATGAGTGTCTGTTCTACCGAGGATCCATTCCTATCCTGCCATGCATGAAGCCTCGCAAAGTCGCTCAGCATTCACACTCCCCACCCGAACAACTTCTAGGCCTGGCCACCAAGACCGCCACGACGGACGCGGCGCTCGCCATACTTGGGCGCCGTGGCAAGGGTGAGCAACTGCTTGAAATCAGGTGTACCATAGCCCGTCACGGGATCCCATCCTTCGGTGGCATTCCAAGAAGCATATGGCACGCGTGGTGCTTGGAGCCCTGAATAAATGGATCTTCCTGTGCATCCTGTCGAGCCTCCAGCAACAATATCGGTCAAGCCCTTGTAGCCTTGCTCGTAGATCCATGGGTTCAAGAAGCCGAGCGAAGACAAGCCCGCAGCCTTGCGAGCATTGTTCAGGAGTGCGACTATGGATGCGAAAACTGGAGCTGAAGCACTCGTTCCTCCAACAGAAATCAACCTGCCCTTGTCAAACACCTGGAAACCTTGGCCCTGGGCGGCAACATCGGGAAATCCGCGTCCTTGGGGGTTGTAAAGCCCGTTCCAGCGGTCCCCGAGCTTTTCAAGATAGTCAGATACAGCCTTCTCTTGGTAAGCGGGTCGAGGCCATAGGTCAGAAAAGCCACCTGAAGAGAAGCTGACGGCCTTTTCGGGCTCAACGCCAACAGTGCCGCCAACCGAAGTGACGTAGGGGCAAGAAGCAGGGAAGATGGGCAAGAAACGTGTCGCGTTCTTCCCATCGTTGGTTTGGCATGCAGAGCCAGGACCAGTATCACCACTGGAGAAGATGACCGACACACCACGAGCACCCAGCTGACCAATCAAATTGCACACCTTCTTTGCGTATTCGGCGGGTACACTCTGCTCGCTCTCGCCATAAGATGTCGTCAGCACATCGGGGAGTTCCTCGTCTTCGAGATTATTGAGATATGTAAAGTAATCCAGATACGGCTCATTGGCGTTGTCGGCCTGCGTAGGCTGGTCTAGATCAGGAATCAGGATTCCGCGACCGGGAACGGTAAAGTAGCGAGTTTCAATGTCGGGCGCAACAAGGCCTGTTGTGTACTGAATGTCGAGGTTGGCTTCAACACTGTCCGCTGTCGAGTTCTGGTCAAAAGGTCCTGCGTTGATAGATGTGACTTGGAATGTGGAACCAGCTGCCTTTGGTTGGAAAGTGCTTATGAATTGCTTCAAGTCGTCAAAGCGAGCATATTGCTCCAGGAAGCCGCTAACTCCAATGGTGACTTTGGCATCGCTGGCATTATAGTCCTTGAAGTTGTAGAGGTTTGCGAGGCAGTCGGGAGTGATTTTCCTGTTACACGTCGCATTGACAACAAGCGCTGAGAATGGGACCTCCTCTTGACTAAAGACCTGGCTACGCTCCGGTTGGATCTGACCGAAGCGCGTCGTAGGCTGGATGATGTCGATGTCGTCTCGGATGTGCTTGGGCACCGAGTAGTCTAGAGAGCGGATCTTCTTGATATTGGCTCGGGCCTCGTTCTGATAGGTCTTGAATGTGGTGCCCATCATTTGCTCGGCACGCTTAACCGGAGCAGAGAAGCTGATCCACTCGCCGTCATTCTGAATATCTCTCGCCTCAATTCCAGACTCTTGCAGCCAGTTGAGAATGTTTGAGGTTGACTCGGCTCGCGGTTTGACGAGGTCCTTGAGTTCGTGTCGCTTCAAGTGCTGTCCGTAACGAGGGTGGCTGGGAGAAGAAACCTCCATCAGCGTCCTCTCAAACAGTTCGCTATCCGCCTACAACGTTCAGTGAAAAGTATTACAAGATTTGAATATGGGCCGCAAAGGTAATTACTCACCGAGCGGACTGCGATGCGGAAGCGCAGCTTCTGGTCT